ACACACACACACACACACACACACACACACACACACACACACACACACATGAATAGTAGAGACTGCACTCTAAGAGATCAATGGCTTTCCAAATTTTGTGGCCATTCCCTGGGCAACATCATTTCTCCTCAACTCTTTGGCGTCTCTGTCACATTTGACTCTCGACACCCCTATTCTTCTAAGGCTCTAATAATTTGCCTCCTTGCCTCACCCACTCCCCTCTTGTAACTGTTCTTCAAGGGCCAGACTTTAGAAATCTTCTCTTCTACCTCCATTCCTGCTTCATCTCTTACTCCTATGCTGATCATCTCATATCTATATTCAGGTCCTATTCTCATCTGAGCTCTCTCTTCTCCAACTGTACATTGGACATATTCAGTTGTGCTATTGTCATCTCAAAGTCAAATCAGCCTAAGACTGACCCTAGCCTCTCCCATGCCCCAAACACCAACTTCTTTCCTAACTTAATAGTCTTTATCATGACATACTCCACTTTCTTCTCACCAGCAGAATCTGTGGGTACCAGTTGTAAATTCGTGCAGAACCTGATCACTTTCCACCACCCCTGCTGCTGCCACCCTTGTCCACCTTTGGTCATCTTTTATTTGGATCATTAAAAAAATAACCCAAAGTGATTCTTCTAAATGTCAAGTCAGATCAGGTTACTCCTCTGGCAAAACTCTCCAAAGTTCCTGTCTCAGAAAAAGAGTTCCTACAATGGCCATCAAGCTCCTATACAACTGTGGTCCTTTAAATTCTGTGATGTCATCTCTTACCCTCTCCCTTGCTCAACCACTCCAGCAATACTGGCAGTCTTAGAGCAAAGCTGTCCAACAGAACTTTCTATGATGACAGACGTATTCTGTATCTATATCTATATCTATATCTATACCTATACCTGCACTGTCCAATATGGTGGCCATTGGGCACTTGAACTCTGGCAAGTGCAAACTGAGGAACTGAATTTTTTTTTTTTTTTGCGGTACGCGGGCCTCTCACTGTTGTGGCCTCTCCCATTGCGGAGCACAGGCTCTGGACGCGCAGGCTCAGCGGCCATAGCTCACGGGCACAGCCACTCTGCGGCATGTGGGATCTTCCCAGACCGGGGCACGAACCCATGTCCCCTGCATCGGCAGGCGGACTCTCAACCACTGCGCCACCAGGGAAGCCCTCCAATCCAATTTTTATACAGCTGTACAGGGGATCGTTTTGCAGGGGCTCCTCATTCCCCATACCAGTGATTCTCAACGCAGGTAAAGCCCTATGCCCTGGGACAGCGTTTTTAAAACTTACCCATAGAAATGAATGCATTTTACATCACGACATAGCACACATACACCCTTATATAACTGAAGTAAAGGTTCATAAATAATTCTTCTCTTTAGTAATTGTGATATACTCTGTTTTCTTTTTCATTAATTTTTTTAGGGGGAGCTGGATGAGACTCACTAAATCAATATCATTTCCCATTAACGTTGTGGTCTTGGTTACACCTACAAATCATCTAGAAAGCTTTTTAAGCTTTCTAATGCCCAGATCCCACACTAGAGCAATTAGAATTTTTAAGAGTGGGAGCCCACAAGGCTCCTCGGGTGAAGGCTTTCCTGAATCTTCCTGGCTTCTTACCACTTCCTCCTTTGAGCCTCACCTCTGAATTCTGGACCTACCTTTATTATAGCAGGCAGTACTCGATTTTGCATTCATTTACATGTTTATCTGAGACTATAAATTCCTTGGGGGCACGAGACTATCTTGGGTCCCTAGCACCCAGCATACCGTAGCCTCCTCCATAAAGATTTGTTGAGAACGTAAATGCATGAGTGAAGCAGAGAATAAACCATCTTCTTTGGCTTCCTCGTTCTTCATCCTTCTTTCTGGCTGTCCTCTTATTTCTTACTGCTCTTGCTTTGTTTTTCATTCACTGGTCCCTCTTCCTCAGCCCACTTCTGAAACAGTCAAATTGCCCTCTGTCCCGCCCTCAGTCCCCTCCCCACTCTCCCCTCTCGATGGGCCCTCCTCTGTGCACGTGGCTTCCATTCTTCCTCTGCTGGAGGCTTCCAAAGCTGCACCTCTAACCCTCACCTCTTTTCTGAGATCCAGATGACTTTCCAACGGCTTTTGGTAAAGCTTCGTGTTAGAGAGCTCGGCTCCAGTTCCAGAAGCTGCAAGGATGGGTTTAGGTTCCAGCTGAACCACCATGTCTTCCAAATTACTTAAGAACTTTGTCTTCCTCATTAGTGAATTCGAGATGATGGATGGTGTCCAATTTGTAGGGTTGTTTTGAGGATTAAATGAAACGTTTAAACATGTATTTAAAGCTCTTAGCACAGTGCCTGGCTGGCAAAGGGTAGGTGCTCAGTAATGGTTACATACTCTCACTGGACTTCTCTATCTGAAGCTCCTTCAAACCCTTTAAACTCTCTGAAAACAGTATCTTCCCTCTCATACCTCTTACCTGTTTCCAAACATCCTGACTTCCTCCTCAGGTAATGCTAGAATCAGTGGGACCTTGCCTGATACAGATGTAATTTGGGGGCTGGGAAGGACTCTTAGGGGACCCTTGTCTTTGCCACAGCTCTCAGCATCTCTCAGCCAGACAGCTACTACCATCTCACAGGACTCGCTCTCTAATCCAAATTATCTGGTCTGTTTCTGCCAGAGTAATTCTTGTAAAATCAAAGCAAATCTTCCACTCTTCCTCTCTTAACACTCTGCAAGGCTTTATCCCATTTTCCTGGATAGGAAATGGGATCAGAGAGGTTAAATAACCTGTGTAGGATCACACAGGACCGTGGCAGGTAGCAGAGCTGAGGTACTCAGGTCTGCTTGACTCCCAAGCCCCTTCTCTGTCCACTTAGCACATGGCATGATCTAGCCAGAGGGCAAATGGCTGTAAGTGGGGAATTGAAGTTCACTGTGGTAAGTGCAGGAATAAAACAGCAAGGGCAAGGAGCTGCTGGTTCAATGAGGAAGGAATGGAGAGAGCTGTTCAGACTGTGGGTTCCATATGTTCTGATCATGTCAATATTATGCTAAGTCACTCACTTGCTCACTCATTCATCAAATATTTTGAGCCCTTCGATTTGCTATGGATACTAGTGATGATTGATACAAACATGAGAAAGACAAAGTCTTTAAAAAAAAACTCAGTCAAAACCAAACCAGGGAATTCCCTGGTGGTCCAGCGGTTAGGATTCCACACTTCCACTACAGGGGGCCCAGGTTCGATCCCTGGTCGGGGAACTAAGATCCCCCAAACCGTGCAGCGAGGCCAAACAATAAACAAACAAAAGAACCCCAACCCAAACAAAAATACTTAGTCTTGTAAGGAGAAGGGGATAGAAAGATGAGACAGAAGAAGAAATGGCTACAACAGAAATCAATGCTACAACAGAGCTAGTCCCCAGGTACCGTTAACCAGGCATGGAAGGTAAACCAGCAGCTTCCTTCCAGTTACAACAAGTCCATTCCATCTGGACTGCTTACCAGGCCTCCTGGGCCCTCCAGGATCTGTCCTGCCAACCTCTCTGACCACCTGTCCTCTGCCACATGTACCTACTTCTGGTTCAATTTTGCCAGGCTCCTTCCTGCCGTTGGGCCTTTGCCCTTGCTGTTCCCACAGCCTGACCTGCTCTTTCCCTGGTGTTCTGCATCCGGAACTTAGCTCCAGTGTCTCATCCTCAGAGAGGCCTCCCTGAGCGCCCTCCTCATTCACACTTTGTCACATCATCCAGTCCTTCTCCTCTTTCTCCCGGCACGAATCATGATCCAAAAGTCACTATAGTTTAGTAGTTAAGAGCATGGGCTCTGAAACCAGGTCTCAGTTCCGGCATTTTACTAAAGTAAACTTGGCCATGTTATTTAACCTCTCTGGGTCTCAGTTTTCTCATCTGAAAATGGGGATGATGACAAAGGCCCTCCTAATCTCCTAGAGTACTATAGTGGGGTTAACTGAGTTTACGTATGTAAAGCATTAACAGTGCCTGGCATTTGTGGGGGATGTAATAAAGCCACAGTGAGTGAATCGCCTCATTTTCATTCATCAACCCAATACATATTGAGTTTGAATACAGAGAGACAATAGAATGCAGGGCTGGGAATGCAACAGTGGACAGGCCAGGCATATCCTCTGTCCACAAGAGCTTACTGCCTGTCTGAACCATTTCCCTTGTTGACACAGATCTGCATTTTACTTGTAAACTTTTACCTAGAGGTCATCTGAACCTTTCCTCTTCATTCCAGTTTCTAGCTCCCACTTCCTGCCTCGGGATTCATAGTACCCAGAAGGTACCCTCTGCTAGTGCCTTATTATGGCTTGAGGTCACACATAAATCTATGCATTTTTACACCCACACAATTGGTTGCTTGTAGTTGCGTTCATTCCTTTGGAGTTAGAATCAGTTAGAGGTTTGGCTAACGAGGAATTGGTGAAAGGTCACCAAGGAGATGAGAAAAGCAGAAAAAGAGCTGAGAGGTCTACCTCTTAGCTGCTTCTTTCTGGGGACAGACTTTCCCCAAGTCTGCCTAATTTCTTCTCACCTAGATTTCACTTTGTCTTGGAAGCCTTCCCTGACTTTCTAAGACAATGGGCTCTTGAATAGACCTTGTGCTCATCCCTATAGTAAGACTTCATTCCACTGCAGGGTAACTGTCTACCCTCCTCTCTCTCCCACTTGTCTGGCTCACCGTATGGCCTGGGCCATCTTTTTGGTCTTATTCTCCATTGTATCCTCAAACCAGCAATACCTTCTTATTGTTAGCAAGTAGTGCCCTTTATGCACGTATTGAACTTAGGTAGAGGGTAAGAACCAGTAAAGTGGGTAAGTTAGGGGGCAGTGATTTATATTGTGTTACAAAAGGACTATTTACTTTTTTTTTTTGCGGTACGCGGGCCTCTCACTGTTGTGGCCTCTCCCGTTGCGGAGCACAGGCTCCGGACGCGCAGGCTCAGCGGCCATGGCTCACGGGCCCAGCCGCTCTGCCGCATGTGGGATCTTCCCGGAACGGGGCACGAACCCGTGTCCCCCGCATCGGCAGGCAGATTCTCAACCACTGCGCCACCAGGGAAGCCCAGGACTATTTACTTTTAAAAGAAGTTTTTGCAGGGTTCCATTGAGTAGGGAGTCAGGGTTATTGCTATAAAAAGAACCCCCAGGTTTCAGTGGCTAATGCCCACCAAAAAACTTTCTCAGTGATGTGACAGTTCAATTCAAGTGTTCAGTTAGCAACCTTCTAAATCCTGTGGCTCCACCATCTCTTATGCCCTTGGGGTCCTCTGCATTTGGCTAGTAGACGTGGGGAGAGAGGAAGAAGACAATCTTTCAGGACAATCACATTACTTCCCATCCCTAACAGGGACCGGTTTGCACAGCTGCACTGACCGCTAGGGAAGCTGGGGAAAGCAGTCTAGTGGGTGCCCAGGAGGAGAGGGAAGTGCATTTTGTGAGCACACAGCAGTCTCTGCCCTGGGAGCACACCCGAGCCAGCTGGCCCTGTGTAAAGTGAAGTGCTTGATCACCTGCAGTGGGTCCCAGAATAAGGAAATTGCACTGATGTCTACTGTTCTGGCTTTGCAGACGAACTCATGTGATCAAAATCTAAATCGTTGCCTCGAACTCATTGAACAAGTCGCCAAAGTGCAGGGACAACTCTTTGGGATCTTCACTACAGCAGCCCAAGAAGGTGAGAATGGCCCATGCATCCCCGTCTTTGCTTTCTTTTCTTTGTCCCTTCTCTGTGCTCTCTGACTGGGTTGCTGTGGTTGGATTTCTCTCACTGACCTGATTTGTGGATTCTTCTAGGAGGACATTATGATGGTGTGGAAACAATCAAATCACGCCTTTTGCCTTGGCTGGAGGCCTCCTTTACTGCCGCTTCCCTAGGAAAACCTGTCGACAGCAAGGTCCCCTCTCTACAGGTAGGGATGCTAAAGGATCCTCCTAGGTGTTCAGCACCGATCAGGCTCTGGGGACTCAAACATATGTAAGACATGGTTTTTACCTAGTGAGGGGCTCAACTCTAGTTAGTGAATTGAGACATGGGTCGAAAAGGTGAGTTTCTATATACAGTAATACGTGGCATAATGAATTAAACTTCCTCCTAAGACAGATCGGCATTAAAATCTCAGCCTTGCCTACTTACTGGTGGTATGGCTTCAGGCAACTCAATAAGCCCCTGCTTCCTCAGCTGTGAAAAGGTCCTGGTGATGATCTGCATCTGGGACATTGCTGGGCCCACACTAGGCACTAAATAGTAACTTTTAAACAACAAGTTAGCCACCCAGACAGGGTACCACCGGGCGGAGTCAGAAGAGAAAGAGATCATTAGATGGGGGAAAGCTCAGTATTCTGAAAGAGTAAAATAAAACTAATTGGAAACTTCCAAGATAAGAAGAAAACTCAATTCTGGTAGATTGATCATGAGTGTCATCATTTGTGGCTGATACTGGTGGTTTCCATGTGACAGTGGCAGTGTTTTAACAGTTGAGGACCAGACTGGAAACAGAAGGCATACTTTGCTTAAGGCGCTGGTATCACTATGTCTGGATAGGCAAAACATTTGTAACCTTGACTTTAAATGTTTATATGGATTTACATAAATTCCTTTCAAGAACTGAACCATTTAGAGCAGGCCGTTCTAAGCAAGAGGGCCTTATGAGGTAGTGGCCAAAGGATTCCTGCTTAGAGATCACTGGACAGAATCCTAGTCTATCTTCTATGGTCCTGGGTAGGTTGTCCAACCTGTTAGGTCTCAGTTTCCTCATCTGTTATATGGAAACAATGCTTTTGCTGACCTAACAGGGTCACTGTGAGAGTTAAACGTGATAAACCTGCGAAACAACTTACATGTTGTAAGGGCTCTGGAGACATCAGTTGTTATTAAACAAATTTTTTATGTGGGGATTTTCATATGCCTCTTAGATTTTTAGCCCCTGTGGATGTTATTTTGGGTATAAAGATGTAGGATGATATTTCACTGTCTTTTTTAAAAATCTGAGGTATCATTTACCTGTAGTGAAAACCATAGGTTGGTGAATTTTGACAAATGGATATATTCTTGTAAGTCACACCACTATCGAGATATAAAACATTTCCATCACTTCAGAGCATTCCCTTATGCCACTTCCCAGTCCCCTCCTTCCACCCTCAGGGCAACCACTCTTCTGATTTTTGTCACTCTCCATTAATTTTGCCTGCATGGGAAATTCATGAAGACGGAACTATACATTACGTGCCGTTTTGTACTTGACTTCTTTTTTCCAGCGTAGTGTTTTTGCAATCTGCCCATGCAGTTTCATGTATTCAGACTCTGTTTTGATTTGTGTACCATTCCAGGACACGTTTGATAAGGACGGACATAAAGAGTTTGGCGCTCGGGATCGGGACATACAACAATTAGATGCTGATTTGAATGCAACTCGTAATCAACTCAACCAGGTTCAAGACGAGTAAGAGGAATGCAAGTTATTTTCTTCCAAAAAGAATTGCTTGTTCTTAACTTAATTTTTAAGTTTGAAAGGAGAATACTGGCTCATGTAAAATGTAGACATTTGCAAATAAGTCATATGATGTGTGTGTGTGTGTGTGTGTGTGTGTGTGTGTGTGTATGTGTTGGGAAGCAGTGTCTTTGAATTTGGGGACAGGATTCCTATATTACATTATGATCCCTAAGACCCTGGTCCCCTTGGCTTCACTCCTGGGGCTCCTCCTTTTCCATAGGCCCACTATCAGTCCATATGTATGAAAGAGAAAGATTGTTGCATGAAAATCTAACTTTGGGGAGGAAAATAAGAAAAGAGGCAGAAGAGGAAGGGTTAAAGAGTGAAAGATCAGGTAAAGAGAAAAATTAAGAGAAAGAGAGAAAAAGTAAGATGAAGCAGCCTGCATCTATCTGTCTGTTAGGGGTTATACATGCCTAACTGAGAATCATTCAAGATTTTGGAATAACTTTTAGATATAAAAATGTATTTTTAAAAAGTTAAGCAATGTCTGGCAGTAACAGATCTCAGATGTATGCTGTGTGCAAAGCCAGGGTAGCAAGTTCAAGGAATCACTGCAAAGAAAATTGCAAACTTTGGGTTGTACTTGAGGGAGATAGACAAATGTGATGCAGCTGCTTTTAACATATCTAATAAAAATCCATCAGTAAGGTGTTTCTCCTATCACAGCATTGCTCCATGGCTGACATGTAGAGGATGGCAAGGGATTCTTTTGTCACTAGTTAAGGCTTGTGATGGAATAGGGTATGGCATTCTGCCTTGTTCTCTGATTAGATTTCCTTCTAAGGAAAACATCTCTATTGATTGATTTAATTTTGTCCGATTATAAAAGTAATACACATTTCCTTTGTCAAAATGCATATAACAAATAAAAGTATAAAGATGAAAATCGACCGTTAGTTCATGCCTGTTAACATTTTGGCATATTTTACTCCAGACATTTTTCCTTTCTCACACACACACAGGGTAACAGGGTTACCTCTACACACTCCCATTCATTTTTCCAACTGGAACCACTGTCAGTGTGTAGTTTTACAGCTGCAGCAGTCAAAATTTACAAATGAACTGTGCAAAATGCCTAATTCCTCTGAATTCGTATGACTTATTTCAACTAACGTCAACTGATTTGGAGAGGGGTAAGAAGGAACCTTAAATCTGCCACTTCTTTTCTGGTTTATCGTAGTTCGTTTTGTGTAAATATTCAGTTAATTCCAAGTTCTGTTTGGGGCTGTGTTTGCCCTTTCAAGGGGTCTCATTGTCCTCCTCCTTCCTTAGACAGGTGTCTAGGGGTGAAGGGCTGTTTCCGTGCTCTCCTGGTGATGGAGGAGAGGGGCTTTTTGTCTTGTACTGCCCTCTGGGTTCTTGCTGCCTTGGTTCTACCTGGGCACTGGAGTCTTGTGCTGATGGGCGCTGAATTGTGGCTCATCTGGTTAAGTTTCCTCACGCATTCGCTGGCCCCTGCTGCTGCCTCCATTTGCCTCTGGTTGTGAGGCAAAGCTTCGCGACTTTGCTGATTCTTGTCTTCAGTCAGAATCCGTAGGAGCCAGGAATTCCTACCTGCCTCTCTTGTCACTATGGCTGTGTAGTTACCCATCAGGGCCATCATGGACCAAAAATGATGATTGCACGCTTTTTTTTTTTTTTTTTTTTTTGCAGTACGCGGGCCTCTCACTGTTGTGACCTCTCCCGTTGTGGAGCACAGGCTCTGGACACACAGGCTCAGCAGCCATGGCTCACAGGCCCAGCCGCTCCGCAGCACGTGGGATTTTCCCGGACTCGGGCACGAACCCGTGTCCCTTGCATTGGCAGGAGGACTCTCAACCACTGAGCCACCAGGGAAGCCCTGCACGCTTTTTTTAAAAAAGCTTTTTATTTGGAAATAATTTCAAATACAGAAAATTTGCAAGAATAGTACTAAGAACACCCATATACCCTTTCACAGTCCCCTTGTCCTGTTTGCTTTATCATTTTTTAATTAATTAAATTTATTTATTTTGGGCTGTGTTGGGTCTTCGTTGCTGCGTGCAGGCTTTCTCTAGTTGCAGCAAGCGGGGGCTACTCTTCATTGCAGTATGCGTGCTTTTCATTGTGGTGGCTTCTCTTGTTGAGGAGCACGGGGTCTAGGCATGCAGGCTTCAGTAGTGGCGCACGGGCTCAGTAGTTGTGGCACACAGGCTTAGTTGCTCCGCGGCATGTACGATCTTCCCGGACCAGGGCTCGAACCTGTTTCCCCTGCACTGGCAGGCGGATTCTTAACCACTGCGCCATCAGGGAAGTCCCTGCTTTATCATTTGTATGTATACATTCCCTATCTGTATACACACTGCCCTCCGCCATTTGAAAGTTGCACACAGGAAGGTGATTTTCCCTTTTGCTTTTCCCTGTTTTTGTTTTTTAACCCACGTGTGGTTCATGTTCCATTTTTTAAGGCATCAGAAATGATGGAGGCTGTTCCCCACATTCTATGGTAGCCAGCTCTCTCCTCCACTACTCTGCCTACCTGTCTCTAAATCCAGGGTGCTACCTAATGTGGAATGAGGGGCCCACCCCAGGAGGTTCCCATGTCTAACCCCGTGGAGACCAGTTTAGCTGTGACTCAGTTGCAAAGGTGCAAATTCCAATAGAGTGCTGAATGGGGACAGGTCTGCTCAGGTTTGACGAGCCCTAGACGAGGGAAGACTGCTGGATTTTATGTTGGGACTCTGGTTAGAAATCTCACCTGTCCTCATTTGCTATATCCAATCTATTAGATCATCCAGTGGAATCTACCTCCTAAACGTCTCCCACACATGCTCCTTTCTATTCTACTACCACTGCCCTCATTCAAGTCGCTGTTACCTTTTGCCTCAGCCAGTTGCCTTCCAACTGGCTTCCCTGGGTCCATTCTTGCTGTACTACAACTCATTCTCCACACAGCAAATATAGATATACTTTTATTGTAGCAAGTCACCCTCTGGCTTAAAAGCTGTTAGTTGCTTCTTTTAGTACTTAGAAAAAAATTCTAAATTCCTTCCCAGGGCTCTCCCAGCCCTGCGTGATCTGACCCTACCTCTTGTCCACCCTCATCTCATGCCAAGTTCTCCTAGTCTTCTGTCTACTTCCTCACCTCGAGGCCTTTGCCTGTGCTTTTTCAGAGAAATGGAAGTCTTCTGCTGGCTCTTGGCATGGCTGGCTTTTTCTTGTCCTTTAGGTCTCAGCTTAAATGTGACTTTCTCAGAGTCTGCGACCACTATACATTGAATGGTCTTTCCTCTCCCTCTCCTCTAATTCTCTTTCACAATCGTCTAAGAATAGCACTTATTGCAAGTTGGAACTTTGAAAAATTTGTGTGAATATTTATGATCCAGTAGACTGGAAGCTCCAAAGGGTTACTGTCCTGTATCGCTATTCTGACACTTGTATCTCCAGCATCTAGCATTGTAAATTCTCTATAACTTGCTCAATGAATGAATAAATCCATAACAAAAAATAAATATGTTAGCCTGCTTAAAACAATGCTTGTCACATGAAGGTATCTCCTTTCTTCTCTCTGTATATCATCCAAGGGGGCCAAGTTTGCATGTATATTTGCTTGTATATATATGTGCTCACACATGTATGCCATGTCTCGAGAGAAAAAAACCTGATTACTGTTCACACTCCTGTTTCTTTCTTGGTCTTTTTTCTTCTTTTAATTTTCCACTGTTTTCTCTTGATAAAAATGTTCATTTTCCCATATATACTTTAAAAAATCTATAACATATTCACATTGAAATTAAATCACAGCAATTTCCTTACAATAGCCAGCATCCCTATCGTGAAGTTATTGCTCCTCTGGTTTTATTTTAGACTTCAGACATTTCATTCATGCATTCATTCATTCAGTTTTTCCGTTTTTTAAAAACATCTATATGACAGGTACTGTTTTAGGAGCTGGGGATAAAGAGATGAATAAAATAAAATCTTTGCCTTCAAGTAGTTCACAGTGTGTTTGTAATGAGATTACAGATGTGAACAAGTGTCGGAGGAGCTCAGGAGAAGGGAAGACAAACTTTTCTTGAGAGTCAGGTGTGGCCTTTGGAGAGGCACTCATTGGATGAGTGGGCGTTTGTTAGAAGAGAAGGGGATGAGATGGAATTTGGGGAAACGCACACCACCTCCTGCATTGCCTCATCAGACCTGTGCGGAATTGATAGGGATCCTGCCATCCCATTATTTCTCAGTCTGCCTCACTGTATAGGGGAGGCCAGTGTTTGACCTTCCATGCTTCCATCCAAGTGTAGGGAGGAAGACTGGTGTGAGTTTGGATAGCAGTTGCAATCTCTTAGCTTCAGAACTACTGTGATGGAAGATACTTGGTGTTCCAGGGGTGCAAGGTCAGAGAAGTCCAAAAACCTTTGCCAATCCACAATCTCTCACTGTACTAGGACAACCTCATTGAGAACCATTGGTCTTCATCCAATGGCATCCATCACATTCTCATTTCCTAAAGAAATAGTACGATTTATTATGATTTGTCTACAACAAGGAGAGTCCTTGAAACCAACAAGGACTAAGCTAGTTGAAAACTCAGGAAAACTGTGCTCAATTAGTGGTGGAAGTCAGAGGCAGGAAGACACGAAGTACTTGGTAGTCGAGTGTAATTGTGGAGGACTTTTTTATAGGCGGGCAAATAATTTTTCTATATTTAGTAAATCTGGGAAAATTAAGTCAAATGCAACTCTACAGTGCAAAGTAATAAGAATAGGTATTAGTATATTACAGAAAAATGGAGATTTTATAGAGAGGCAACCTGGGGATTCGGTGTAATTAGAGCAGATGAATTAGGAGGGTGAGAAGGAGAAACTGAACAAGTTTGTCTTTTACATTCTAATACCAGTAATTATTACCTAGTCTTTTAGAGGTAGTAGCTCTGTAATTTCTTTGTGTTTGACATCGAGGAAAGATGCTAGCATGTTTTTGCATACTAGTGTGCCATAATATTTGTAATATCATCTAATTGAATGCAGATGTCTTATAATTCGATGTTGTGTATATTGAATTTATATCATACGGCAAAAGTTCCCAACAGAACCTATGCCTTGATTTAGAAAGTCTGCCAATTTTGGAAAATCTGTCTTTAGTTACTGATTTCTCTTACAGTATGGCTGAAACTGAAAAGACTCTTAAAGAAACCAAGAACAGATCGGCCATATCCCTTCTGACTGCAGAGGGGGAAATAAATCAGCTAAGAAAGCAGTAAGAAAAAAAAAAAAATGACAGGATTATTGCAGGTTGCTGATTAACCCCTGAATTTAGCTTTTTTTAGTGCTCCATTACAATACGAAAGAATCTGTCCATAAAGATGAAAGGCAGCAATGTTTTTATTAATGTTTTATATATTTTTCTTACTACAAAACAGTACTTACCCACTATAGAAAATCTTCAAAGTACAACATGGTAGAAAGGAACCTTAGCCCTCATAATTCCAGAGCCAGTTACTGTCACAATTTGCTATTTCTTCCAATTAGTACGTTAAAAATAAAGTTAAGACAACAAAATGTAAGTATACAATTGTGGACCCCATTTTTTCATTCAACGTTATTTTTCTCTATTACTAAGAAAAAATAAAGCAGAGCTTAGTCTTAAATAGGTACATCATATTTCCTCATTTGGGTATTTCCCTAACATGGAATATTTACTTTGATGCCAATTTTCAACATTGGAAATAATTTTTTGTGGCCAATCTTAGTTTAAATTTCAGATTATCCTCTAAAGATAAATTTCTAGAAGGGGAAAATAAACACTGATCCTTTAAGGGTATACTTTTTTCAATCTTAACTTTGATTTTTTTTTCCCCAAAAAAGAGCAAATGGGAGTTGCAGAAAAAAAAAAAAAATATATATATATATATATATATATATACACACACACACATACGTACGTACATACCTTTCTATTGCCTTCATACATGTTCCAATTGTTCTGATTTCTTCAGGAACATCCATAAATTTTAGCTTGGAGCACTAATCTCATTTCCTAGTTGATATAGCTTCTCAAATTCTTTGAGCATATTACTCAGCAATTCCCTATCGCACCAATTCTGTTCTTTACTGTTTCTAGGGCAGCTTTTAATTCTGCTATTGCATTTTTAGCTTTTCTACATCCTTCTTAATCTTACGCCTTCCCTTCTCTTCTTACACCATTGTTATTTTCATCACAGCATGTTCTCTTCTTATGGCTTTTGCTCCCTTGTATGATGGCCATACTTCTTTTTATTAATGAGGATGCCAGTTTTATTTCTAAAGCTTTACTCCTTTCCATAGTAGTACATTATTTTCGTAGGTCCACATTTCTGCTTGGTGGTGTGGATGGATGTTACTCAATTTCCACTGCAGTTTCCCCCCACATTCCATCTGTTCAGAGAATAGAAGAGCTAGTGAGAATAGATTATCTCTTTGACCAGCTTCTGGACTAGGTTTTGGAGATCACAGGCTTCCAGAGTTTTGTGCAGTGAAGCCGTCCAACGTAGAATAGTATGTCTCTGCTTTGCCTCTGCAAAGACTTCATGACTCTGCCCACTCTGCTTTGGCTAGAGGATTTGCATGCCTATCTTTTCTTCAGGAGCCTTTTTCCATGCAAGCTACAGACATGATGTGGCACCCTGACCCTGGCAATTCTGCTCTTTGTTCATTTGTGTTTGATCCCCTGTATTTCCATCCGAGTTTCCCAGGGCAATAACGGCACACTAAATAAAGCAGCCTCCTTAAGTAGGCCAATTGCGGTTTATTACCTTTCCTCCATCCCTCCCTTTCTCTCTTTTCTTTCAAACCTTTTTTTCTGTTCAGGCTTACATCTCTTCAAGCCCAGGAGGAATCTCGCCTCAGACACTCAGAGCATAGGAGCTCAGAGAAGCGGGGCTCCGAGCGTAGGAGAGAGGAGCTGCGGGGCTCGGAGCCCCAGGGCTTGGAGCAGATGGGCGCGGACAGGTGGAGCGTAGACCAGAGGAAGACAGAAGCGATATGCGATTATAAGAAACAGCTCCGAACGCTGAAGGACAAGATAGCTGTTCTGTCCGCTGAAAAATCTGTACTCCAAGGAAGGTCTGACACATTCTCACAGATCTTTTCATTTAAGCTCCTTTTGTTGAGGTAGTGATAAAAGCCTGGCTTGGAAAAGGAAAAAAGAAAAAGAAAAAAGAAAAATAAAATGATATCCTGAGCGCGAACCCCAATAATATGGAAAACTTTGAATTGTAGAGGGATTGTTTTCTCTAACTTCACCCTTCCGTAGAGAAAATACCTCGTGGATTGACAATACTTGGGCACTAATTAATTTCGGACTGACATTGAAGCTTAAGGAATGAAACTAAGACATGCCAAAGGAAGGTTCTTTGTCTTGATACCAGATTTGAGCGCCTATAATGCAAAAGGCGGTACCCATGCTGAAAGACTGTTCCATGAAAGGGGGAGGGTCCTGTTCTCTGAGTTCTAGGAGTTCTCTCGCCAGGATGACCAACTGTCATTTCACACGGTATTGCCTTTTTTACATCTCACTTTGTTTGATGGAATGAGTAGGTAAGGGAATGTGAAATTCCCTTCTACTGATGGACAGAACGTTAAGACAGGTCATTCAGACAATGTTCAGTGAGGACAAAGTAGAGTGTTTCTCTCTTTGGAGTTTCTGCATTTTCCTTGTTCTTTCTAACACTTCCTCTCTTCCCCCCCCCCCCCGCCCCCCAGTGTGCCCAGATTCAGGCTATCAAAGCCACCCCTAACCCTGTTCTCCATTCCCCTAAATGTCACCTTAGGCTTTCATTTTGGGGAGTCACTCCATCAGTGTTGTGCGAGTGCCAACTTGTAATAGCTCTGGGAACTGATTCTGTGCATTTCTACCCAACTCTGGTTTCAGTGACGTCACATTGATAGTTTGAAATTGGCTATGGTGAGAGTATTTGTTGCATCATGGAAACTGGCGAACACTATAAATGAGGGCTTTTTTTCCCTTTCCACCTTCGGAGAGTCTGCTTTGTACTACCTTTTGCCCCACAGTTCCTTCTACAAAACTTCTCTTTTTGGTGGCCCATTCCCTTTGGACTAGCTAGTCTGATCATTTACTTTGTACTTGGTAGCAATATACGTTTCACTGATGGAATGCTTTTCGATTCACCAAGTACTTCCACATGTATTAGCTCACTTGATAACCTCCCCACCATCCCGAAATAGGGCACAAATTATGTAGGTGAAAATGGAGGACCTGCGGAGGAGAAAATGACTGCAAACGGTTCCATTGCTATGGAAGGAGAACACAGAATTTCTTTCTCATTGTTCAATCAGTGTTCATCTCATTTTATACCAGAAAGCTCAGTGATGTGTTAGTGGCCCAAGGTTGGGGTAAGAAATACTGAAAATCTGACTTTTTATTTAACTCTCGCTCTTGCTAGCTGTGTTACTCTAGGATAGCCTTCTTAGCATTTCTGAGCCTCAACTTCTTCATCTGTAAAAGGGCCAACAATCAATGCTAACCTTACCTGGCTGCTTGAAGGATAAATTGATGTGCTGAGTGAGTAAAAGTGTGTTATAAATTCTAATGCACCAGGCAAATATAGAGTATTGTTTTTTGTTTGTGGTCCTATTTGAGGCCTTATGGTGACACAGTGTCTCTCACAGGGAGCTGCTCTCCCTGTTCCCATGGCTTCTGGTTTATGGGGAGAGAAGCAGCCGAGTCTAGGAACAAGAGAGTGAAGGGAATCAGAGCGCTTCCCTGCCTGATTCTTGTTCACCAACAGGTCCGCCAGGAGCCGGTCTCCGAGCCCTGACCCTCGCAGCCGCGGCCGCAGCCGCAGTCACAGCCGCAGCCGCAGACGGTCCACCAGCCTCTCCACCGCGGTCGCGAAGGTCAGGAGCCCGTCTCCGAGTCGCGCCAAACTGTCCAGCGTGGCGCGCAAGGCCGCCCTGCTGTCCCGGTTCAACGACGCCTATTCCCAGACCCGCCTGGATGCGCAGTGCCTGCTGCGGCGCTGCATCCACAAAGCCGAGACGGTGCAGCGGATCATCTACATCGCGGCAGTGGTACGTGAGCCTCGCGCGCGCGCCGCTGCACTTCCGCGGTCCAAGGGCGCTGCGGCCAGGCAGTGCTTGGGTAAACTGAACAAGACGGCTTAAAAAAGACTTGGTAGGGCCTGAGGTCACTGAAGGAGGGTGGGTTTCCATCTGTCTCCTCCCTCCCTGCCTGCCTTCCATTACAGATATTTGCGATGAATTATTTTTCACACTCAATAACTATTCATATATGTTAATATCTATTTTGACCAGACATTTGTTGAAGCATCCACAAATGTAGGACTATCTCAGATGGGTATATACGAAGTTGATTCGCGCTGGATCTTCTATTGTAATATGGGTATATGTACGCACAACGGATATATTATTGCTAAGGGCTATCATTTGTTTGGTTACCTTCCCTTCTTGGAAAAATCAAAAGGCTGTGATTGTGTTCACTCTTCTGTTTAGTTAACTAAGAGTAGTTACTAGAACTGCTAACCACTTGAGTATGGCAAGATTAAAAAGTGCTCATATATAATCTCAAAATCCAAAGCAAATGCATTTGTTCTGTGGGTACCATACGGAGATACTAAGAGTCTGTAATGAGAACAGCTAAATATTAACAAACAAAACAAAATATTGGTGTGAGAGCAGAATTATCAGAATCTACCGGACTTTATCCTATATTTATTCATTTATATCAGGAGTCAGCAAACTGTGACCCCTGGGCCATATCTGGCCCTGATCTGTAATTCTAAGAGAAATACCACCCAAGAGCTAACATATGAGAATGGTTTTACATTTTAAAGGGCTGTAAAAAAAAAAAAAAAGACAGAGACAATTATGTGACCGGCAAAGCCTAAAATATTTACTATCTGGCTTTTTACAGAAAAAAGAATTTATATCATTAAGAATTACTTAATTTATATATAATTTATATAATTAAGAATCATGCACTGAGTTGGTTAAAGTTCTGTAATTGTAGAGGCTATATCTTTCATGCATAACTGAGTTTTCCCCGTGCCTGCTATATTACAGGCATTTAATAAATATTTGTTGAATTAATATATGCCAGGAAACATGTCAAGACGCTTGATATGTGTCTATGTATGACGTGACCACTAGATTGATAATTTTCTCTTATTTCTTGACCAGTAGTATGATGTTGCTGTGGGATCAAAGCAACAACTAGCATATTTCAAGTATTTATGTAACCACAGGTGATTTTATTTCCTTGAATGCCTGCATTGTCCTGCTCCTTGCAATCAGGATTACCAGAACAGTGGTCAACTGTCTTGAAATTAGTGAATATGGGTAGTCTTATATGTATTTATGTACTTTCCAAAATTTAGATATGTATTTTCTCCCAGATTAAAAGTAGTTTTGACCATGGGTTTAGTTACCAGAAGTCAAGTATGATGTTGAATTTTTGTTGGGCATTCTTTCTTCATTCCTTGCTTTGGACCTCTTTACCTGCCTCCTCCCACCAGATAAATTTGCTGTACTTTTATGTGCAGGAGGCGTTCCATGTAGCTAAAACGGCATTCAGACACTTTAAGATCCGTGTGAGGAAATCGCTGACACCGTCTTATGCAGGGTCAAATGACTTTGAGGATGCTGTCTTGGATTATATCATTTGTCATCTTGATCTATATGATTCCCAAAGCAGTGTTAATGTAAGTGTTGGGTCTTTTATTGGGACTGGTTTGCTGCTGCTGCTGTTTATAATGAATACTAATAACTCAGAAATCCATCCAGCTTAGTGTTGCATCTATGTAATGGAAGGGCGGGAATGAGCATCCAATATATTTTGTAGAACCAGTCATTATTGGCTCTTTCTTTCTTAGACATATTATGAGGAAAATATTTTGAGCTTTCTAGTTTTATTCTTCAGGCAGGCTCTTAAGATTGGAAGATAGAATACCATAGTGCTTAGGAGCAATGATTTTGGGAAAGATAGCTATGGATTTGCATCCTGGTTCTGCCACTTACTAGCTGTGTGACCTTGCACATTTACTTAACCTCTCTGTGTTTTAGTTTTCTAATCTTAAAATGGGAGCAACAATGGTCATGACCCCATAGAGTTTTTGAGAGGATTAAATGAAAGGAAGCAGGTAATTTGCTTAGCACAAGAGTTGGCACAGAGTAAACTCTCAATAAGAGCAAGCTATTATAATTATTATTATAGTTTATGAACAAGTCAGAGTCCTGTGTTGGCGATTATATAACTTGCTCAGAATAGAAAAATAAGGAAATAATAAATAAAAGCTACTAAGTGTTTTTGCTTTAGTTTTTTGTTTATGGAGACTTTCTTGGCCTTTAGTATGTCATTTGTCCTCTGTCATCTTTCCTCCTTCTCTGTTTCAGCACATGCACTTCTCTTCTAGTTTACCTTGTTTTCACTCACATGCTCTTTCCCCCTCCCAGCAGTCATAACGTCCTTAGGATTGTCAGTGTGTATTTCACAGGTTGGTAACAAGGTGATGCCATCTTTTTGTTTTTCAGGATGTGATCCGAGCCATGAATGTCAATCCCAAGATTTCATTCCCTCCTGAAGCTGATTTTTGCCTCCTCAGTAACTTCATCCAGGAGATATGTTGCATTGCCTTTGCAATGCAGACTTTAGACCCACCCCTCGACATTGCATTTGGGGCCGATGGAGAAATTTTTAATGATTGCAAGTAAGAGACATAGGAGCAGAAGCTAAGGGATTCTTTATAAATAAATTATCTTGTCTGTATTCTCTGGGAACAATTTAGGGAAAAGAACTCTGGGTGGGGAAATCAACAGACATTACCTGATTTTCAGGCCCAGCCATATACTTCTCTGTACTACAGGGCAGGGCCCTCTTCTGGGGTCATTTTCCTTCTAGGTCAAATGTGCTTCAGAGGTGATGTTATGATTTCCATTGAACATATTGGTCTTGGGGAGAACTAATGAGTACCTGGAGTCTGTTTGGAACTCTCTAAAAGAAAAGTGCTAGGGAGGAGATATGGGGATATATGTATATGTATAGCTGATTCACTTTGTTATAAAGCAGAAACTAACACACCATTATAAAGCAATTGTACTCCAACAAAGATGTTAAAAAAAAGTGCTATAGAAATACAGACATATATTGCTTTTTATTGTTTAAAATTTTTTTTAATTGAGGTATAATTGACATACAAGATTGTATTAGTTTCACGTCTACAACAATAATGATTATACATTTGTATATATTGTGAAATGATTATCACCATCAGCCACCATATATAGTTACAAAACTTTTTTTTCTTGCAATGAGAACTTTTAAGATCTATTCTCTAAGCAACTTTCAAATTTGCAATACAGTATTATTAACTATATTGTTAACAATTATACGTCTGCATAACATTTATTTTGTAACTGGAAGTTTGTACCTTTTGACTTCCCTAACCCATTTTGCCCCCATGTCCAGAAACCACTAATCTGTTTTCTGTATCTGTGAGCTTGGTTTTTGTTTGTTTGTTTGCTTTAGAGTCCACATATAAGTGAGATTGTATGGCATTTGTCTTTCTCTGTCTGACTTATTTCATAATGCCCTCGAGGTCCATCCATGTTGTCTCACTTGACAAGATTTCATTCTCTTTTCTTTAAATAGCGAAGTAGTATCCCATTGTATAGATACCACAACTTTTTAAACCATTAATCCATCAATGAACACTTAGATGTCCATCTTGGCTATTGTAAATAAAGCAGCAATGAACATGGGGGTGTATATATCTTTTCAAATTAGTGTTTAGTTTTCTTTGGATAAATACCTAGAAGTGGAATTGCTGGATCATATGGTAATTCTGTTTTTAATTTCTTTTTAAAATAAATCTATTTATTTATTTTTGGCTGCTTTGGGTCTTCGCTGCTGCGTGCGGGTGGGCTTTCTCTAGTTGCGGTGAGCGGGGGCTAATGTTCGTTGCGGTGCACGGGCTTCTCATTACGGTGGCTTCTCTTGTTGCAGAGCATGGGCTCTAGGCACGCGGGCTTCAGTAGTTGCGGCACGTGGGCTCAGTAGCTGTGGCTCGCGGGCTTAGTAATTGTGGCTTACGGACTCTAGAGCGCAGGCTCAGCAGTTGTGGTGCACGGGCTTAGTTGCTCCGCGGCATGTGGGATCTTCCCGGACCAGGGCTCGAACCCGTGTTCCCTGCACTGGCAGGCGGATTCTTAACCACTGCGCCATCAGGGAAGTCCCCAGCATGAGAAATCTTATACGTTGCCTGTGGGACTTAGATGGTCTCTGTCTCTAGCATTTCCCTGAATTATAATTCTTGTAATCCTGAGAAGGAACAAGACTAGTCTGACATGACTTTTTTTTTTGTCAGTTTAAAAAAATTGAAGTATAATTGATTTACAGTATTGTGTTGGGGTGGCTCCATCGTGCAGTGATAGCACATTGCACTTCTACAATGCTGTGTTAATTTCTGCTCTACAGCAACGTGATTCAGTTACACATATGCATATCTCTATATACATTCTTTTTAAAATATTCTTTTTCATTATGGTTTATCATAGGATATTGTATATAGTTCTCTGTGCTCTACAGTGGGACCTTGTTGTTTATCCATCTAAATATACTAGTTTGGGGCTTCCCTGGTGGCGCAGTGGTTGAGAGTCCGCCTGCCGATGCAGGGGACACGGGTTCGTGCCCTGGTCCGGGAAGATCCCACATGCCGCGGAGCAGCTGGGCCTGTGAGCCATGGCCACTGAGCCTGCGTGTCTGGAGCCTGTGCTCTGCAACGCGAGAGGCCACAACAGTGAGAGGCCCACATACCGCAAAAAATATATATATATAAATAAAATAAAATAAAAAATAAATAAATATACTAGTTTGCATCCGCTAACCCCAACCTTCCAGTCCATCCCTCCCACAACCCTTCCCCCACGGCAACCACCAGTCTGTTCTCTATGACATGACTTGTTTTTAGTGAGTGCATGTCGGGTCCTTGTTATCAGTGGTTCCTATTCTAGGAGCCCACAACTATCTCTTTAATAATAGAATGAGGATCCATATTTATCTAAGTGTGAGCAGAATAAAAGATGAGAATTTACACTGAGGTCCGCTTCCCTCCCAGTTAGGTTACATAACTGCTTATCTTCTCTTTCTTGTTCTTTTGGGTGTTTAAAATAGGTACCGTCGAAGCTATGACTCCGATTTCACGGCTCCCTTGGTCTTCTATCACGTGTGGCCTGCTCTCATGGAGAATGACTGTGTCATTATGAAGGGAGAAGCTGTCACCAGGAGAGGGGCTTTTGTATGGTGGCCTTGCATAATGACAATTCATCCCAAGTGTTTGATTCACAAGTTCGAGAACATTTATAAACCCAGAGATTCTATAAAAGAAGTTCATAAAGGGTTATTTGATAAGATTTCGTACAAAGGAGAGGAAAGGGACTGGCTGGGAAAGAACAGATTCTTTTCTTTGATTCTTCCATGAGTCTTCATCATTCCCTGGCAGTCATTTCTTTGTTTATTGCTTTATTTACAAGATAGAACTGGTCCTATTTGCCTCCTCTGTCTTAGAAATATTATGCTATTATAAGGGCAAAGCCCCTTGAGCTCAACTTTTAGAGGCCCTCTACAGTTCTAAGCATTTAAAAGTGATCGATTAACTGTCAGAAAACAATTGGCCCAAGTTTTACTGATAGTTCTGTATTTTGGGATATGATGAATGTGTCCTGTTTTTCTCTCCTTGGTACGATGTGTAGGGAGGGGAGGGATGGAGAAAAAGAGGGCAGAGGAGGTGGGGAGAGAAGAGCCAATCAGTTTTGGAGGGTTGCTTCCTATATACATTGGCCGTAGAATGTTTTGAACATGTTAAATAATTGGACAGCCTTCAGAATGGAGTCTTAGGTATGCAAGTGTGTAAGTGTGTGTGTTAAGGTGGGGAGAGGATGTTGGAACTGGTTGCTACGGGTGCTTGGATAGTCTATATTGTGTTCCCATTATGGAGTTTTACCCTGCCCTTCCTAGAAGTTAAGTGAATTCAGGAGAGGAGCTCCCAGGTCCAGAGCAAAGCCACCATCTGGGTGGTCTCAGTTCCTGTTCTCTTTGACCTGGAGGATAGGGGAAGTGCTTCATGGCAGCTTTTCACACATGAAGTGGAGAAGCGGAGTACTGTATTTAAAAGAACTTAAGAACTTAAGCTTAAACATCCCACTGTAGCATAAAGTATCTCAATGAAAATATTCTGTGCTGTAAGAGTTGAGCCCATAGAAACTGGGTTGCGTTGACTTGGCAATCGCACGTGCTCTACAACGAATGAACTCATAAAACGTGCTTCTTGCCCTTACAACAATTACCCTCTGTTAAGGAACTCTTGTAAACTGTCTGCAGTGCAATGTGGAGGGGAGGGAGAGGAAATAGCCACTATTCCTATGTTCTCCATCAAATAGCAATGCCTTTTAACTTCCTTCTTCTCTCCCCTCCAGTATGTCACCAATATTTACCCAAGCTTAAACTCCTAAAACAAAGAAAATGCCCTAAAAGCAAGAACCCGGGAAAGGGTTGAATGACGGGAATTGATGAGAAGACTTTGACTAGTAAAATCTCATTATAGGAAATAAAATTTTCTTTTTGTTCATTAACTTAGTTGGACAGTAGGTGGGCCACAGTAGTGATTCACTCACTCACTTATTCATTAATTCATTTTATTCAATAGTTATTTATGACCCAAGCTCTGTGTTTAGGTGCTGGGGATTCAGCAATGAACAAAACAAACACAAATCCCTGACCAGATGGAGCTTACGTTCTCCAACACTTGCAAACTTGAATGTAATTTCTAACAGTTTACTCATCAAAACAAAGTTCCACTAGCATCATGAATCTGAATATCCCAAAGTTCATTGTAATGGGATTTTATTTGAGAAGTACCCTAGAGCTATTGTCAAATATTGGGCAGCTATAGCAAATGAGTGTACTTATGCTGGCGACCAGTAACGGGCAAGCGTAATCATATCAGGAAAACCTCTTGTTCGTTCTATGGGATATGAGTATTGTTTTAAGCCACCTGGGCTTTCACAAACTATTGACTATTTTTCTCTTTCTCCTTTTCTAGTGGAATTCAGTGCGATCTCTAAGTCGATGTCGAAGCAGGAGTTTAAGTCCCATCTGCCCTCGTAGCCGTATTAGTTTAAGCACGGTATGTATCTGTCTAATCATTTTTACACAAAATCATCTTATGGTTGACGTTTCTTTTTTGTCCACAGTCACCTATAAAAGAGGCGATGATAAGTTTGTAGGTAGAAAGAGAACCTACTACAATCACCCCAGATTGATTTTTATACTACCTTGGCTAAGGAATTTATCATTCTAGAAAGAAGGAAGCAGAGGTAGATTTTTTCTTCATTAGTTGAAAGAATAATAGACTTCAGTTATTTCGTGTTTTATTTTTATCTTTAAATGAAAATGGGCTATTAGCTATGAGTCTCCTGAGCAGAGAATAGGATATCTTAGTCAACTGATCTCTGCACACATCAGTCTCTGGTATCTCTAGAACTTCTTGTATGAGTTTGGAGAAATTGCTCAAATGGTCTGGATTTTAATACTGTATAAAGGGCATTGCAGGTCTTAATTTTCCTCCAAACTTCCAAGTAGGAAGAATTAAGATTAGTCTCTGTGTATTCATCCTTAGGATTACTAACACATATATCAAAGAAAAAAATAACAGCAAAAACATCTCTGAAAACTGTGGATATAATATCCCTAAAAACTAACATTATTATGATTCACCACTGTTCATTCATTCAACACATAATATTTAGTCAATGTCTTTTGAATACAGATCTAGACCAAGACATGTTAAGATACCATATAGGCTAACAATTTGCTGTTCCTCCAAATAAAAATTCTTTAAATATTTGTTCAAACTTGTTTTAGGGAGAGTGGTAGAGAAGGCAACTTCTCTGAAATTATCTCTAGTGATGCAACTCTAGCCCTAAACTTCTAAACCCCTCTCAACAAAACATTATGTTTGATAACATTCTTTTTTTTTATAAATTTATTTATTTTTGGCTGCATTGTGTCTTCATTGCTGCATGCGGGCTTTCTCTAGTTGGGACAAGCAGGGGCTACTCTTCGTTGCAGTGCACAGACTTCTCATTGCGGTGGCTTCCCTTGTTGTGGAGCACGGGCTCTAGGCATGCAGGCTTCAGTAGTTGTAGCACACGGGCTCAGTAGTTGTGGCTCGCGGACTCTAGAGTGCAGGTTCAGTAGTTGTAGCACACGGGCTTAGTTGCTCTGCAGCATGTGGGATCTTCCTGGACTAGGGCTTGAACCCGTGTCCCCTGCATTGGCAGGCAGATTCTTAACCACTGTGCCACCAGGGAAGCCCTGATAACGTTCTTATCAAACATTTTTTCCATTATCGGTTGGATGCTAGTGTGTATGTGTGTGTGAGCGATACAGAAATGACTAAAACATGGTTTCTTCCCTGAATGGGTTTCAATATAGGAAGATCAGTATGATTTCAACGAAGTAACTGAATGTTACAGCTGTCGGAGGAGGTTGAGATTCCCTCTGGATTTAGTTCACGGTGGAGTTGTTATGTGATCTGGCAGAATTTTTGTGGGCTGGGAAACTGGGGACGACTATCCACATGAAAGAAATGGCCTGAGAATGGAAAGCCATGTGTCAGACACAGTTCTTTAGCTCTTGCTGATTTTAATATAACTTAATTATCCTTATTGCCAAATAGGTATTCACAGTAGGAAAAAGTGAAAGGAGAGTACATTTAATGGGCTGATAAATGAAAAAGACATATTATGAGTTTTATACTGGAAGAATCACAATGCTTATTCTAAGAGGAAGTGTTCTGTCAGAAGAAATAGCCATATTAGACACCTGTTGCACGTACAGCCATGGCAAATTTTAACTCTGGGCCCTCATTGGAAAGCTTAGCAATGGGCAATGTCCCTCTGTAATAAGTACCTGTGTATGTTTGAACCCATCCTCTCTTTTTCCTACTTTGTGCCCAGGGAGAGCAAACTTAAGCTTTTGATAGACTAAAGTAGATGCTCAAAGGTGAAACTGCTGCTAAAATCCTGTCCCTTTCCAGCATCATCTCTTTACGACAAGCCCGGTACAAACATTTTTGGTTAATCTGGTTGACTTGTTTGAGACCTCATATCCAGAACAGCTTCCATCTTTGTTAATGTCTATTTATCTAAAGTGCTTGAAAGCTCACAGCAAGAATGATAATTGTGGTCAGTTATTTCCGAGCCATCGCAGGCTTGTAGGTATGGGGGTAGGTTTTCCTCAGTGAAAGCAAAGGTGAGATTTGAAAAATGGCTCTTTTCTGGCTTCCCAGTGACCCTCCTTAATAGGACAGCATTTTGGACACATGACATAATTCATATAAAGGATGTGCCAGAGAGTATTGGATCATTTTAGCTTTAATTAATAATAATAGTAAGTATTTTCTGGAAAGCATAGACTTCAGTATGGCCAGTGAGCATCCAGTCTCAAAGTGTTTAGAAACCACTAAAAACAACCACAGCAACAAAAACCAATAAACAACTAGGCCACGGAGCTCAGCTTTTAGTTAATAATATAATTTAAGCTAAGTTGAGTGTCCATTTACTTCAGGAAGTATAAAAGGAATCACAGCGCTCAACCTTAGGGGGAAACCATCATAGTTCTAAACTGCTTCAGATAAACTCTTTAGCTGGTTTTAGGAAAAAAACATCAAAAGGATTCTTTCTTTGAGCTCCATCTACTGTGTAATTCGCACTACACTTTTATATTTTCCAGATATCTCGAAGCCGGAGTCCTTCTCCAATAAGGTGTGGATTGCCAAGTAAGTCGGATGGTCTAGATGGAACAAAGTTTCTGATTTTTATTGTTGCTTTTAGAGCTCAGCATCGTGCAGCAAAGTGAATATTTTGCTCCTTGGAGAACGTTTCTCACCTCCACTTCACACCTTTTATTTCTGGGCCTTCTCACGGATGGTACCACAGCAGGTGCCGTGGGTGACACCGGAAGAGGCTCTCATGGAGAGATTTGATTGATGTAAACTTAGATTAACCATCCACCTTTCTTTTAGGTCTTCCCAAAGGAAATGGACCATAATAATGAACCGTTTACTTTTCTCCCTAGGGTTTTAAAACCACCAGCCATGTTCCTCTGCCCAGGACGTCTGCCACGGCCAACTTACCCAGTGCCTCCACCTGCCTGCTGTCTGCCTCAGACCTCACTTAAAATAATGTGAAAAGGCAATTCTGTGTATCACTTCACACAGAGAGTTAAATGTTTTGGCTTAGTGCATTTGTAACTTCAGATATATCGCATTTTATTTTATTTTATAGATACAGATTCCATTAATTTGATAAAAAACAATTGCCTAGGGCTTCCCTGGTGGCACAGTGGTTGAGAGTCCTCCTGCCGATGCGGGGGACATGGGTTCGTGCCCCGGTCTGGGAGGATCCCACGTGCCGTGGAGCGGCTGGGCCCGTGAGCCATGGCCGCTGGGCCTACGCGTCCGGAGCCTGTGCTCCACAATGGGAGAGGCCACAACAGTGAGAGGCCCACGTACAGCAAAAAACAACAAAAAAAACCAATTGCCTAGGTATTTAGGATCATATTCATTTGAAGCAAAGTCCATTACACAGGTTCAGGATTCTCATCCTGAAATACGAGGCTCTTTTATAGCAACTACAAGAACTAAAGTGGAAAATCTTTACCGTGCTGAGTCCAAAAGACAAGAGGAGTCATTTCAGTTTATAAGCTGATCATAAATAGTATAATTGCTGGTTTTAGCTTTAACTGGAAAACAATCTGGGGTGTTTTAATTTTCTTTGGGGGTTTGGAAGACAGCCCTAGTCTCAGGTTGGGGAACTTATAGCATGGCAGTGACTTCAGGCTAAAGGTAGGTGGTGATGATTTAGGAGAATATAGTTCATTGGCCTGCTTCTCTTTTCTTACTGTGAAGTGCCCAGTGTGGCTGAGTTGAGCACTGTTTGTTGAAGTTACTTACTTGAGAGAATTCTCTTGCTTCATAAATGCAGAACTGTGATTTGGATAGAAGCCAGTTTGGAGATAACTGTTAATTACCTTGTGTTTATCTCCCGGGAATATTTCCGGCAGTTTTAATGTAGGTGTGAAATATAAAAGCTTCCTGGGACACACCCTTTACCTATTCCACCTGGTTGTTTACAAACTCAGACCGCGTAAGAACTCCATCTGACTAAAAACACTTAAACTCAAGGCTAAAAGCTAAGGGTACCATTTATGGATTTTAAGTTGAATGTCTATCCCTTGATTTCTTCACTGTGAAGTACTGTTGAAAAAGTTCACATTCAAGATTATAATGGAATGTTGCTTTCTCAAGATGAATACTGTTCTTTCTGTTTTTGTTTTTTTTTAAATTCTTTTCACTTTAATGCTGGTTTTAAACACAAGCTTTGCAAATGACAGCTTTTGCTGTGTGCCTTTTAGAGAGAAGCGCTGAACTGGTCACAGCTCAGTTTGTATAATCTCAGCACCAGGACCAGCAACTGGGGCTTTTTAGGTGAAAACAGACAAACCAAAAACCCCACAAAAAACCAAAAAAAAATCTTCTCTAAAGCATCTTACCTCTTGTGCTGGGACACAGGGACGGGGAGAGACCTCCCCAGTCTCCACCCTTTGGGTCTAATGGTCACCAACTCATTCTGAAGCGTGAACTTAATTGTTCTCCCTCTGCGTTTATGTAGTCATCACTTTGAGGCAGGGCCGCGTGCTGGAAGGAGAACCCAGTGCCCAGGTAACTCCAGTTCTGACTTGGTCATCAACTTGCTGGGTGGCCTTAAGCAAGTTACTGCATCTCTCTGAGCCTCAGTTTCACTGCATAGCGAGGGTGGATGGGATCAGTGGTTCTCTCAACCCTCCCAGACTCATGCCCTCTTTCATAACAAATATTTTATTTTGGCTATTCTGAAATGATGTTCAAAGTTAATATGATTTATAGGCCTATATACTTTTAAACAACGAATATAGTACTTGAACTGTAATATAAATCGGAAAAAAGGAAAGCAGTTTTTAATAAAATAGAATGTATTTCAACAAAAAAGCTTGGGTATGACTATCCCGGAAGATAAAGTCATCAGACTCTTATGCCTTTATGTAGAATTACTAGCCACAAGTGCCGATCAATGTGCGTTGTACCGGCAATATCATAAACACTAATGTCATGGGTTTTCTGAAATGGTGAAAAACTCTTGGTAAAGTTTTGAACAAAAACTTACAGCTGTGCCTTAATTTACATAGTAAATGCATTCCTGGAGAAGCTGGTGTATATTAAAACCATAGAATGTGTTATATGTGTTATATGTGAAAAGGTCTTTTCTAAAATCTCACTAAATAATGAGAATGCCTACATATCAGTGAAATATGGGAATGCATCTGATTGGGAAAAAGGTCACATGTACTCAGTTTATTTGCTTTGTACCCTGTCTGGCCACTTGCCATTTCTCAAGTCTCTGATTTGATCCGTAATTGCACGGGACAGGGCAGTTAGTCTAGACTAATTCTTGGAAAGGATCCACAAAACCAAGGGAGGCTGACCTCTACTCATTTCATCAGGGTGTACACCTTAACCTTGGTGACTTTGACAAGTGATAAACTCTTTCTTTGTAACCTGGATACATGTTAGTTTTTGTATTAACAGTTTAACATCTAATCATGAAATTAAGAAAAAAAGTGCTTCTGTACTTGTAGGTTCTTTGCAATGAACTGCTTTCCTTGCAGATTCCCTTCACCCATCTCCATTTTCTGAGGTCTGAACAAAGGGCCACAAATTCCCTCAATAAATATCAATGGTGCCTCTGCTCTGGGGTTGACTCCATGATGCTGTGATTCCATGCTGCAGCTTAATTATCAGCTTCAGGTTATTTTATTCACAATTCATTGTCTTCATATTCAAGACACTCTCTGAGGAGTTCTATACTGTTTTTATGTACATTATTTCAGTTTCTCCCCACGAGAAATCCAGGTTGTCTTCAATGTAAAATAGGTTAGGAACCTGTTCCTCCAATACACCATGTGGTCTTCTTCCAAGCCTTTTTATTTCAGAATAACATTCTCTCCTGTTTTCTTTTGTTCCTCCATGACCTATAGCATCAGTTCTTTTGTTTATTGGTTTGTTCGTTCATTCATTCATTCATACAGTCACAAGTTCAATGAGCACCTCCCGTGTGCTAGATACCGTATGTACTGGTAGGGATGTAGTGATGGACATGGTTCGGGCTCTTCTGGAGCTTAATGTCATGTCCAGTTGCATTCCTTTGTGTTTTTCCTGTCATAGAGAGCATATATGATGGGAGAAAGAAAAAAAATACAGCCAGTAGAGCAAAGTTAAAAGAGAAAGTGCCACATATCAATTGAAGAATTAATTTGGGGGGCAAATACCTATATATAAGAAAGTTATGCAAGACAATGGGAGAAATATGGTGAACTTCACAAAAGAAAGTAACTCAGTTATGTCATCCACAGGTGAATTACTCAGTCTTTTTACAAGTATCTACTGAAACTATAATCCTAAGATCATCATCAACCATAAAATGAGCGCAGGGGGAGGGGCCCAGAGATCCATCTAATGCTTCCAATTACCGCAGCTGTGTCCTCCACCTGCCATATTCCTAAGAAATGGCAAGTTGCAGAGCATTATAATTCACTTTTAGGCACCTGCAAATCCTTCACAAGGCAGATTGCTGCCAATAGTGTTCTATAAAGTTTGGGTTGAATGGAAGACTTCTTAGTAGTATGACTTTGAATAATATCATACCTATAGTTAAGGGTAATGTGTTATGGAGATTTTAAGAAGCTAGTATTCCAAACTGCATTAGGTCATTGAAATGTGAGCCCAGGAACCATACGGGTAAGTGACATTCCACATATGCCATTTAAATACCAAAACGGTGAGGGCTGTTGGCCTTAATACATTGAGTGAATAGGGGCATCGAAAATGAAGCAGGAACTAATTTTCTTTCAAATGCAGTGTGATGCGATAATTTCACGCTTAAAAAATTGACCCCCATGGGCTTCCCTGGTGGCGCATTGGTTGAGAGTCCGGCTGCCGATGCAGGGGACACGGGTTCGTGCCCCGGTCTGGGAAGATCCCACGTGCCGCGGAGCGGCTGGGCCCGTGAGCCATGGCTGCTGAGCCTGCGCGTCCGGAGCCTGTGCTCTGCGATGGGAGAGGCCACAACAGTGAGAGGCCCGCGTACCGCAAAAAA